AGTATTGAATAACATTATTAACGTGTCAAGCGGTGTTCAACTTTCTTGTAATTACACCCAACACAATTTTTTTACTTTTCCCTTGCATGGTCACGTTTTCCTTATTTATGTACATTTACTTTTACCAAATAATTATTGAAGTATCCAAATTAAGAAACCCTCACATGGCTGCACGGCAAACGGAGGAGAAATTCTAGCGACAAGGACAAAAAAATATCAATTATTATCCTCACGTGTCAGATTTTAAGACAACCTAGGAATTTGTGATATTCTGTAGCCACGTTTCAATCTGTAATTGGGCAATTGTAAAGACTGTTGAGGTTGATTGGTCCACTGTCGTTTTTGGTTACTTGCCCTTTTCCACTTCTTTTTTTTCCAAGAGAATAATGCTATTTAGTGCTAGGGAGACATGTACTCTAACACCAAGGTAGGAAAATAAATTACATTTAAGATGTCAAATTACTTGCATTATATTTAGACTAATACTCTAACACCAATGACGTTATATCGCATTATTCTTTTCAAAAACACCATAGCAAAATTTCATGGTTTTTCTTTTGAATATCTAATAAGAAAATTACACGAAATGCTTAAAATCTTGTATTCTTATGCTTAGTTAGGTATAGCCATGACAAAGAATCGAACTGAACCGATTCAATTAGCCATGAAAATCTACCTTCAGATTAATTGCCATTGCTCACAAGGAGGCGTTCTCAGCAATCACTGCTATTAGGCTTTCTGCTATCTCTCGTATACTCTTTATGTTGGAGATCTTCTNTGCCATTGCTCACAAGGAGGCGTTCTCAGCAATCACTGCTATTAGGCTGTCTGCTAGCTCTCGTATACTCTTTATGTTGGAGAGCTTCTTTCGCTGGTAGCGATGTTTGGCAAGAGATATAGCTACGTGCAATTTTATCAAAGATTCTTCTAGTTGTCGCTTTGAATTAACACCCATGTCTTCATGGTGCCTCAGCAGGATTCGCCTCCGTCTTACTCATTTTTGGACAACTTTTAAGTAATTGTAATCCAAAAAGAATGAAGTCCTGGTTGTCTATTGGACCAGAAAGAAGGCTCGGGCTCACCCCATGATCATTTCCCTTTTACAATATAAATTTCAATTTTTTTTTAAAGAAATCGTGCTGCAAAAAGTGTAGTCTACAACCTACGTTTCGCACGCTGCTGGTCAACTTGCAAGCCCATGATCCTGCTGGCAAGCCGCCCATAGAGGCAAGTCGAGCCTCC